TTGGTATTTTTTGGGATTTCGAAAATACCGAATAAATAAGTTTTGAAAACCAATCTCATACCGAATATTTCAGTATTTTTTGGGATGGGATTACCGAACTTCAGAATGGTTTTGATTTGAGATTTTTTGGTTTGGATTCGGGACTTTTTCGATTTGGTTTGGGAATTTTAGGAATTTTTTCCAACCTTTCAACACCGTAGTCCATTTCCAAACATCAAATATGCCGAATGGCTGGTTTGGTATTGCTGTGCTTTGAAAAAAAACTGTTGTGAGAATAAACGGCTGTGCTGTGAGAATAAGCGGCTGTGAAATAAATCAGCAGAGTGTTTGGTAAATTTTTTTGTAAAAGTGCTTTTGGAAAAAAAAAAAACAGTCTGATAGTAGGTATTTTCATTAAAGGAGCACTGTAGCTCTGTATGTTTTGAAAAAAAACCAGTTTTCCAAAGCTGCAAATAGCAACTTCAGCTTTTTCCTTTAATTTCAGCTTATTCTCACATCAGCTTCCAAAATAAGCCCTTTTTTTTCAGTTTACCAAACACTTAAAACCCTCATAGCTTTTTTTCATGGGTGCTTTTTTTTTAAGCACATTACTCCCAAACCACCCCGAAGTGAATTAGTCTTAAACTTTTGTAAATGACATCATTATTGTTTTTATTCGAGACTTTTGTGACGGGAAAAAAATTTGAGAACCAAAATAAAACAACCACTAAACTTCAGGGGCATATTTATAATTTACTCATAAGATAACTCGGAGTGACAACATTGTGTTGCAACTTTTTAATTTGGTCAAAAGTTATGTAATCAAATGGGATGTCAACATAAAGTATTCTCACAAGATCCGAAAGCAACAAAACAAACCCGACCCACTCCACAAACCCGCCCCGATTTATAATCCACGCCCCTCCCTCTCCCACGTCTTTCGTTCCAGGAAAAACTCTCCGATTCTTTCTCTACAGCAAGGGAAGCAAAGCTTCGTTGCCGCTCACGATCGCAATCCTTTCGGTACGTCAAATTTTTTTTTTTAGGGTTTTTCAATTTTCCATCAATTTTTTGTTTGTTCGGATTCTTATCTATTTTAATCTGAATTAAAGTTTAACCCAGTTTTGGGATTTTATTTTTGGGTGCTGGAAGATTTCGATTTTCTTAGTTTTGGGTCGTTTCTGGTTTCTTGTAATTTCTTCGATATCTTTCTCTATCGATTTTTTAGTGTTATACATGATTTGATATTCCGGAAGTTTATAGTGTAATTTATTGTTGCCTATCTGCAAGTAAGCTTTCATGGAATTTACTTCTGTAATTTTCTTAATTTTGGGGCTAACATGGAAATATTACTGAATTTTATAAATTTAATTTTTGTTTGGGGTTTTTTTTTTCTGACAATTTTGGTAGATATTTGGTGTAAGACGATGGATTTTGAGGTTTTTGTTTTTCTGACTTTGCAGGGAAGCAATGGCAACACTAGACTCAGACGTTCCAATGATTCCGGCGGGCGAGGGTTCGAGCAGTGCAGGTCCTTCGTCGACCAAAAAGCCCAAGCGATTTGAGATTAAGAAGTGGAATGCTGTAGCTCTCTGGGCTTGGGGTAACCACTCTAAACCCTAACCCTAGTTCCTCTGTTTTATTTGGAGAATTTCGATTAATTTGGTTTTAAGTAGGTCGCTGATGTTGTTTCGCCATGTTGTGTGCAGATATTGTGGTTGATAACTGTGCCATTTGCAGGAACCATATCATGGATCTCTGTGAGTTTTTTACTTTACTTTTGCATAGATTGAATTTATTGTCTTGATGGCCGTCTTTATTTATTGATTGTTATTTTCTGTTTCGTCGTGAATAGGCATTGAGTGCCAAGCAAACCAGGCAAGTGCCACAAGTGAGGAGTGCACGGTTGCTTGGGGTAAGCTTCTGCTTTCAAACCCTTGTTTTCCTAAGTTAATGTATAGCTAATAGTTTATGTCGGGTACTGATTTTGTTTTCCTCAAGTTAATGTATATGCCCTTGATAGGTTCTGATTCAGCACAGTTTACATAGAGTGCATGTATGATGTGTCACCATTGATAAGTATCTTATAAGTTCACTAGTATTTAATATTTCAGTTATTAAAGCTTTGTCATTTTTATGGCTATCTGATTTGTTTGTTTTTTCCCCATTTTTTCTACCCCAATATATTCTGCGAAATTGGGAAGCTTGTTCTTTTTATTCTTTATAGTTCAAGCCTAATAGGGAAGGTTAAGAGCTATATGCTCATACGATCATGCAAAGATGAAGTTTGAGACTTTTCCTGATGTGCTTAATGCTTTTGTTAGGTGTTTAGATATAAAGAAACAAACACGGAAACTCCTAGTTTTATGAAAGGAAGATTCTTGTCTAATCAAAGGCAAAGAGTTTTAGATTCTTGTCTAGTCAAAGGCAAAGAGTTTTAGATTCTTGTCTAGTCAAAGGCAAAGACTTTCTTGAAGTGGTGTTACCAAACTGTGCTTTGTAATTATCTAGCATTAGCTTGCGTGAATTTATTTTTTATGTATGTGCCTTCAAAGCTGTTGTCAGTGGTTCCTTATATAAAATTGTTGACTCTAGAGATGATAGTAATATGGTGAAGACAAATTCCTTTTTCCTTGGTTCTCTTTCCTGGGCGGCTTTCCTAGGCAGGGGCATCAACTACTTGTATCTTTACCAATTAACCAATTTCTGTTTACTATCTTTTCGAACATAGCACAATTCATTCTTTTCCCGTAACACAAATCATTCCCTTTTAAGAAATTTGTTTGAAGCTGGTCTATTAAGTCATATATGACCTTCCTGGTTAATGCTTGAAATGGGTGTTTGTAGTGATGGTTTTCTTGTATGGGCACCTCGGTTATCATTTCGTTATATTTATTGCATTTACCATTAAGCACGTGGTGCATGTTTCTCTAAACTTCATTCTTTTCTTTTTCTTATCTCTGTAGGGGTTTGTAACCATGCATTCCACTTCCACTGCATAAGCCGATGGCTCAAGACCCGACAAGTGTGCCCATTGGGTAAGATTTTTGCCTTAGTCATCCCCTTCCTGTTCTTATATTAGATCTTTTCCCGTTATGGGACGACAGTGCCTTCTTTCCTAACTTTTGTTGTGGTTTTCTTGTTAATTCAGATAACAGCGAGTGGGAGTTTCAGAAGTACGGTCACTAAATCCTTAATGTGCCGGGTTGAATGTTGTGTGCACTTTCTCCACTGACTCTGTCAATGAGGGTCTCATCCCCTCGTGTCTATCCTTAGTCATGCCTATGTTTTTACTTTGTACTTTGGTAATTCAACGGAGCCGGTATATTTTTCGTTAAGCATTCGGCTGCTCAAGGGTCTGATCGTGGATTGGATTTGTTAAGCATTCAGCTAAACTTTTCAACTATATCGCATTTGTAGGCAGGGTTTTCTTTTGGATTAGTGTGTTTTCGTTTTCTCAGTGTGATTTCGTTCTTGGTTTAATGTTTTATGTTTTTCCCAGTCAATGCTTAAAGAGCATCTCTGATCCAAGGGTCAAGAATCAAGATGCATGCCATTGTTTGACTATCTTAGAAACTTTGATAGACTTGCTGTAGGACCTGGAGTTCCAAACCAATAGGACCTTAACACGAATCCGGATCCTTTCCGGATCCTCTGTGATAGACTTGCTTCTCCCTCACTACCGCCCCCTTCCTGTCTTCCAAAGGCCACATGCCCACCATTATCTTCCTAGACAACAACGACAACCAGAAAACAAGATCAAGCGAAAGCTAAAGAAGAACCTATTTTAGTTATTTCTTTTTAACACAATGCTAAAAACCAAACTCCTCACATTCAAATCAACATGAAATACCCAGTAAACTAAACTTCAAAGAAATTACATCACCACAACCAGCACTTCCCATAGGCCTCAAACCCTCTGTGAATTTCAATTTGTTGAAAGATGATTGAGGTAGAGATAGAGAGAACGGTTGGGTTGGGGTTTGGTTGGTTAGTTTTTTTTTTCTTTTTTTTTTTTAATTTTATATCAATTGACTTGATTTCCTATAAGTTCTTATAAAATATTTATTTATAATAAAGGCATTCTAGTAATCATACAAATTTTCATTCCGTTTCAAATGAATTAGTAAACAACTTATATTCAAACAAGACCATTTATATTCCGATTCCAGAAAACTAGTAAACAGTTTTAATGGAAATCTAGATTTCATTTCTTCTTAATTCAATTCCTCCTCAATTCAATTCCCTCTCAATCCAATTTCATCTATTTTGATTACAGATTAGTAAATGGGCCCTTAGATAGTATAATTTATGATCGCACGATGTACAATGAACGGACACGATACACGAATTTTTGAGATTCTCACAAAGAGGATCCGGAAATGATCCTTATTCCCTTAATAGCCCATTTCACTTTAAAAATTAAAAAATGTTAGATTTTGTACAATAAGCATGATTTTTTTGTCAACTGAATTCCAAATTTATCCCCACTATAATGTTCACCCCTACCCTTCCACACCAAGCACCCAGCACACCATCAAACACCCACCTCAATTGCCGCCATGCGACCCCGCCGGCGAACCCCAATCTCTTCTCTCCCTCTTTTCTTTCTTTGCTTCCCTGTCTTGCTCGCTCTTATTTCAACATGGAACCCGAAGAATGGTCAACGTCACTTCAAATCTGTTGTTGCCGACCTCTTGTTTAAGAGGTTGTGAGGTCGCCGGATTCCCCTTGTGTCCTCCGGTGTAAGAGAGGAGCAAGAAAAAGAGGAAAAACAATGAGAGCGAAAGAGAGAGGCGAGGGAGACTTGAGGGGAAAATTTCCTACCCACAAGCTGGCTTATAGTGTTTGGGTTGTAATCGATGGAGCAAGTAATCGACGGCATTTGAAGGCACACAAGTGTAACTGTACAGAATATTGAGCATCACTTTGTTTTCTTTAGAGGGGTTGTGATGCGAACAAGGCTAGATGCACAAAGCAATGAACCATGCGTTGAAAATACAGAGGCTAGCTACCAAGGATAAGAGCAGTGAAAGTCTACATGTTTGAGACGCCAAGGTAAAAACGACGAGCAATCTCTGAGAAAACTCTCAATCGAGCCATATTACATGCGTACATCTTGATTTGAGACCTCTTAACTCAGGTATATTGTACATATATGTGTTCCTTTTGTAAGTTTCATCAACAGGTTTCCACAAATTCTATAAAAAATTTGAGTTGCTAAAAACAACCATGAACCTTTCCTAACAAACTCGATACAGCCACAGGACACAATCGTAGGTATTTGAGAAACACGTCAAAATACATCTTTGCCTGCAAGAGATGCCAAACTCTAAAAAGCATAACTCACTGTGGTTTCCATCTTATGATCCCGACATGTAAGTATACCTTGTCTGAGCTCCTATTAGAAGCTCAACAAGTTTGCCTGCACAAACCAAAGATTTTGTTGTTCAAAGATTCGGTCATGAATAAATCAAAAACTCAGCTTGTAAAAGTAGCGGGACAACATAAAATGTGAGGAAAAACACAAGGGAAGGGAATGTAAACCAACCTGTAAGAAACCCAACAATAGGTACTGGTTCCAAAACTTTCTCGGTGCTTTCGAGTTTTTGCCTGAAATATATGACAACCAAAATAACAGAAGACATTAGTTATTCTTTCCTTAGAAAGCCTGCAAACTATCATTAAATTTAACTCAGAGTAGTAGCATAGCATTGCAACCCCGTCAAAACTCTTCATGGACACTGCAATCTCTCACGAACAAAAGTATAAGAAATTAGGGATATTGCTACTTTGGTAATGTTAGTAGGCAGGCTGTATCAAGTGTTTTTTCCTGGAAAAAAATATTGAGAGGGTGAAAAACCAGGTGGTGGGGTTCGTAGTTGAAGGGTGGCAACAGCGTCAGTCGAAACTTAGAACTACATTCTGAAATTCGGCATTACCTGGTATACTTGCTAAAAAATGGATCTCTCATAAGGTAAAGTGCCCACAACAACTTTCGTCTTTTAAGCTGAATCCATGCCATAAAATAAAGAGTCATTCAGCACCAAATTTCAAAAATAAAAAAGCTAGATACGACAGGTTATCAGAATAGAGAAGGTAAGAATTTTGGAAACACTAACCTCATTCTTTTCAGAGACAGAAAGATGAAACTGCCGCTCTTTTGTACCACCCCTGGATGATGTAATTCGTGAAAGAATGCCCATCCCAGTAACGTCAACAGCCAGAGAAAGGAACCAAGGAATCCATGAGCGAATTCCATACTTTCGAATAAATAAAACGTAGATGAGTGGTCTAGTTATAAACAGAGCCTCCCCAAAGATATAAAACGCCCCTTGAAGACCTTTTTCGGACAATAAGGTGGACAGGGTCAACTTCTCAACCACTGGAGCTGTAAGAAACAACATATATATATAAATAAAAACTCATATAACTTATGCTTACATACCCTAACCGATAAATAAATTTTATTTGAATAGTTACTTGGAGGCTCCATAATTGCTTGCTGGTGTTGAACCCTGCGTAACCACACTGGTTCTGAAACCATCCTAGCATTTTCTCCAAACCTAGTCAATGCAGATAGTGCTCTTCCTTCTAAATTCCACGGGTCCTGTCCATGATTATTTCTTAAGTAACCAGGCCCAAGCTGCCCTCCAGGCTTCATAAAACTACCCATGTTACGTTGAGGAGTTGAACCTTCAACATGCATTTCATCATTTGGTGTCTCTCCTCCATGCAGAAGCATCTTATATCCATTGTTCTGGAACAAAGCTAACCTAACTAGCACCCTGATGAATAATGAAATCCACAATGAGGCAATAAGGCAATAAATAGAATCCGACATATAATAAATTCTTGAAAAACGACTGACTTATGAATATAATAAATAGTCCTTACTTTGTAGCTTCCATAATAGCAATGAAATTCCATTTTTTCTCATCACCGAAATACTGTTGAGCCACGACTTCAACCAACGTTTCCAAATCCTTTAGTGCAGATATACACAATGCATATGGGAAAGAATAACCCTCAGTAGAGCCAACATGCATTGAAGTAGGAGATGTGTTGATTATATGTTCATTGATAGCACTTATTATTCCCAACAGAGTAGTTACTGCAGAAAACATATTAAGAAAAGATTACCAATTCCTGCATTGCATGATATGTATATTCACAGAAATATGCAGCGGGAAAGAGACTTACAAATCGGTTTAAGATATAAGGTTATTCAATTGAAAATTGGACAAATTGTACATGCTATTCCAATTTTAAGGTATGAAACCTTTTAAATGTACATTTCGAATCTTTTGTTTTAATTTTTGATAACTTTCGTTTTTTTCTTATCGACCAAAATTACTTTTCTAAAGTGTAGGATTACTCCAGAGAGAACCACATAATCACTAACAGAAGCAAAAGGATTCCTGCCAACTTCTAAGCTATAACAAGAAGTAGCCAAATGTTACCAAAATTTCAAAAAACCTGCTTCTGGTCCTATCTCTGATTCAGAAAACCGTTCAGGTACAAGCCACGTGAATCCCTGTACAAAGTTTTCACCATCCAGTTAAGATAACAAAAATAGACGATAAAACACAATTGAAGGCCAATCATTCCATGCATTTTCGCCAATTATGAGTTACGATTGCTAATAAAGAAGAAGAAAACCAAAAAGGGACTGACAGAAAATTAGCCAAACAACATAAATGCAACTTTGAGAGTATTTCTTAATCCGAAATCCGAAAAGTACAACCATAAGTACTGTTTCCAAAGTATATATGTCAATTGCATCAGCAAAACATATATACACACACAGTGCATATATATATATATATATATATATATAATAGAGTAATAGAGGGCAATTGTTAACAGCCATATGTCTTTATCAAAAGGGAAGAAATAAACTTTCAACAGCTATATCAGCTAACACTAGCACTAATTCAAAGTTAAGGCTATCAGCTAACACTAGCACTAATTCAAAGTTAAGGCACTAAAATTGCCATTTTTTTTATCAGAAGTCACAATTTCTAAGTTCATGGGAAACCCATTTACCCAAATAGCATAAAAAAATCGAGTAAACCTAAAAAAACCACAAAATATCAGATAAATTGATAATCATCAACAAATGAAGTAACAAAATTTAGAGAAATTGAGAGAGCTCACATTTGCCAGAGACTCCAAGGAGTGCACGTAGTCCTTGTTCTCCCTAACCCATTTCTTATAAGCCTCCATAGATTCAAAGACTGCCTTTTCCCAGCAACACCCCGAAACTTCCCTCAGAAAACCCTCCTATCAGTTTCTGCGCAATTTGAGAAGACCCAGAATTCCAGAGAGGCAAAGAGAGAGGCAAAGAGAGAGGCCCTTTAGGGTAATTTGGCTATGGACTTCCTCTGGTGCTGAATGGCTGATGGTGCGGAAGGGCGAGTGTGACGGTTCGGTGAGGGGTGTCTCTACGATTCTATACTGGAAAATGGTATTTAACGCGGACCGTTGATTTGGTCAGATTTGTGATGCTGATGGGGTTCAAAGTAGTGGATAGTAGAGATCTGGTGTCTTTTGCCGCTTCAATGGATCAGATGTTGAGATTTTAGGGAGTGAGAGAGATTTTATAAGGTGGCATAGCAGATGATCAAAGAAATTGGATATGGGTTTTGCTCATCCCAAAGTGTTTTTGTGAGGGATAGGACCATAGGATCTAGGCAATCAGACGGAAACAAAAAAGCGGACCGGATCCCTTCCTGATCATAGGGACTAGAGCCTGCTGAGCAACTCATCCGGACCTTTGAAATTTGATCCAATGGTTGTAATTATTATAACTTTTCGAGGGGCTCCCTATTTGTAGCCGTTGGATCAAATTTCAAGGGCACGGATTGATTGCTCAGCAAACTCCAATCCCCATGCTTAGGAGGGGATTCGGTTCCACAAAAAATGGCAGTGATGCCTTTTTGGGTAAATTACATAAAACTACCTCAATTATTAGATCAGTCACAGTTACATATCACATCTTTTAATTTCAATGTCATACATTCCGTCAGTTTGTCTGTCAATTTTTTCATTAAATAGTGACATGGCTTGAGACGGGGCCTACTTTATTAAAATATTAAAAAATTAATTAAATATTAAAAACTAAATAAAAATTTTTGCATAGGGGACCCACCCCTTATCCCCCTCACCCTTTTTCCCTGCTCCCGTCTTCCCCCAACCCAAAACAAAACCACCCAAACCTAGATCCCACCCGCGCCAACATCTCCCCCTACCCTTCCCGACCACCCATCAATGGCGGAGCCGCTTCTCGTTTTCATCATCCTCATCTTAATCCTCTCTTTCTCATATGTCCTCGCCAACCCAAAATTCGACTCGATTGTTTTTAAAATTTCAAAATTGTTTTCCGATTATTCGTTAAACTTAAACATGGTGGAGAGTTGGCTAGGGCGAGGACGGAAATTGGCTCTTCGCCTCTAGCTGTGGGATGAGGGGTGGATCAGAGCGGACAAGGCGCGCCTTACCAGATCGCCTTCAACGCCGCCAATTCTCAGGAGCGAGTTATCACGGATCTGCACTGTATGGTGGTGATGGTGGCCACCGATGCTGCTCAGCGAGACGGAGATGGATCGATTGGGGGAGGTGGAGTGATCGAAGGAAAATCGTACGAAATGGAAAGAAAGGGTCGCGGTCATGACGTTGAGGCCGGGGGGGGGGTGTTAGAAGTATGCCCACAAAGCCACTCATTTGATGTAATAGCTTTTGGAATACTTAATGCGTTAAACTATTATATGTTTAATGAAGGGCACATCTTATTGTTAATCACTATTTAATGTATTATGCGTTTTGTTTGTACCATACTTGACCAATCTTGAAACTACTAAGCACCGGTCAACGTTATACCGTCAAGGACCCAAAAGAGTTTCCCTCCAACCAAGAGGCCAATCACAGCGCGACACGTGTCGACATCAGAAGCCCATCATAGCGCGACACGTGTCAACATCAGAAATCAATCACAACACGACACGTGTCAATGTCAGAATGAAATTAGAAACTCTCTTCTATAAATAGAGATCATTCTCTCACAATATTTCCTAATGTCATTTGTATTAAATCATTCACTAGTACTCACAAAATGAGAGCTTGAACCTATGTACTTGTGTAAACCCTTCACAATTAATGAGAACTCCTCTACTCCATGGACGTAGCCAATCTGGGTGAACCACGTACATCTTGTGTTTGTTTCCTTGTCTCTATCCATTTACATACTTATCCACACTAGTGACCGGAGCAATCTAGCGAAGGTCACAAACTTGACACTTTATGTTGTACCAAAGTCCTCACTGATTTTGTGCATCAACACGTTTAAGCAATAAGGGAATCTAAGGAATGTATTTAATCTAAGAAAGAAGTGATCTAAGAAAGTTAGATTAACGAGACCTTTCTCTTATGTTCATTCCTAAAACGTTCCTAGCCATAGGATTGCCAATTGGGCATTGACAATCCATTAAGGTTAGTATGTGTTATGTTAACTCAAGCGTAAGTATGATTAGTCTCAAGTCATTCAGTGTTGGATACTAGGACAAACACATAGGTGTTCAAAATGTAATTAAGTATACTAAACAACGAACAAAAGGGAGTTTGAACATACATGTCATGTAAGAACTCTTAAGTTGCAATATGCAAAGTAGTCCTTTGACCTGAGGCATCATAAATGTCTAATGGTTAGATCATTGATCTTTGATCATGTTAAAGGCATTCCAATGAGAGTGTCCACGACATTGTTGGGGTCAAGCTATCTAATCATGTAGGCATATGAATGCACAACAAGGGATCTCTAACCTTCCATGGTGCAGGGAGAATACTTTGAGATATGATTCGGGAGTCTTTGGCCAAAGCATACGAATATGACTTAGGAAGTTTGTTCCAAATCATATTCAATTGAATCATGTAGAGAAGTATCACATTGGATAGTAGACATGAAACAAACTATCACTCAAACAATGTGATTAAGAGTATTGTATTAGAGAATGACCGTATTGCATTGTAATTGTAACTGGATAGGTTCTCCAACCACTTCTACTTAGCTTGGGTAGCCATGACATATTGCTAGGTATCACTCATGGTTTGTGGAAGCCCTGAGGATTAGCAAACACTAATCTTCATCAAATGGAGAATTGAAATGTAGTTTCAATTCACAATCGATCGTTAAAAGTAACAATCGCCCACTGCCTCGCTAATTGGAACCTAATGGATCGTACACCGAGTAAGGATGAAAGTGAAGAAATATATATGAGATGGATAAGCAATTAAATAGTTTAATTGAGAATGGTCAAGATTAATTAATTAGTTAATTAATATTATGAAAGGTTCGTATTGGGCTTTTAAGTTAGTTTTGGGTTTCGAGGCCCAAAAGGGATTTGGTCCATAAGGTCCATTGAGTTTAGGTTGTGTGACAACTAAAACTAAATGGAAATTGACCCAAAAACAAAGTCAAAACTGGCCTAGGGTAAGTGGATGCAAACTTGGCTTAATTGTAAGTTTGCCACTCACATATGAGGTGGTATAAAGGCAACTTTTTAGCCATTATCTCACTAAGGGTTTTCTTGAGGAAAAGAAGAGAAACTTTTTCTCTCTTTTTCTCCATAGAGACTGGCCACTTAGGGGAGGGATAGCTAGCAATCTTTCTTCCTCTAAGTCATCCATTTCATCATCACATTTCATTCTTGGTGTGGAGACTTAAAGACACCAAACCTTTGGTGTTCTTGGAGATCCTTCCCTCACATCCTCAAGGAGCAAAGGAGTATCAAAAGGAAGAAAATCACAAGGAAGATCTAAGGAGCTAGGAGGTGACTTGAAGGCCTTGTGTAAACAAGGATGAGCTTCAAGGGTAATGAATCTCAAAATCCTTTCTTCTCTTTAATGTTGTTAAAGAGTCTTGTGGTTCACCATTCACTAGGTTTTGAAAGTCATGGGTTTTAGAATTGTTTTTTAATGCATGCCTACTTTAAAGTGTTATTAGTTTGCATATGTGTTCAAATGTTCTCACATGTTCTTAGCTAGGACAAAATTTTTCCTTCAAGTGGTATCAGAGCCTAGGTCTAGTGTATAGTGAATCCTTTTGGGTTTTGTGTTTTTCATGGTTTGTGATTTAAATGTTGTAAATGTTACAAGCTTTGTTCTTGCTTTTTGAATATAAATTTTGCTTGAAAATTTAGCATCTCAAATGTTGTAGATGTAGTTCATTTAAGCATGAATATTAGAACTAAAATTTGGTGCCATGTGTGTGGGGAAATTCGGCCAAATCCAAATGGTGGATTTTTTGGGTTCATGTTTGTCTTGTTAAAAGAGTTTTAAAGTGACTTTTGGAACCCCCTAAGTACCCAAGGATGTTAACCCTCTTTTGTGTAGTGTATTTTTTAGTTTTATTGAGTGAAACATTCATGGAGCTCTTATGAGTTTTCATGTGTGTTCTTCAATATTCTTGATGTTCTTACCAGGAACAAAAATGTTTGGTGTTTTGATTCAATTTGTGTGTTGTTTTTCATAAAGTTTTGGTTTGTTATTGGTTGGTGATGGATGATTTATGTCTTTATTGTTTGACTAACATTTTCTTTCAACCCATACCAATCAAACTTTTCAACCATACCAATCAACTTTTCAACCCATACCCTTCACTTTTTCAACACACTTTAAAATTTTGAATTTTCACCAAAACCAACCCCCCTTTTTACACTACCAAAACCGGCCACCCCTTAGTGAGGGTACTTTTGGGGCCTTTTATGCAATAACATAAAGTTTTGATATTTTGGTGTATTTTCACTTTGACTCAAAAGTTTACGTTTTTACTCCTTTAATGACAAATTGTTTTGCTCCTTTAATGAAGTTTTTGTTATTGTTGAAATTTTTGAATTCTAGTTGTAATTATATGAAGTTGTTGACTCTTGTGTTTTTACAAAGTGACCCCAAAAGTTTGTGTTTTAGCATTATGGCGCAATAGTTGTGGTCATTGTTTTTCGGCCCAAATTATGATGAGAACAAAATGGTTTTGTCTATTTAATGAGAATTGGATTTTCATTTTATTTAGTTCCATTTAAATCAATTATATGAATCCGAAAACCAATTGTTTAAGTTGCTTTCTTAGTTAATGTGATTGATTAAGAAAATGGTGATTATGAACCAAAGGCCTCGATAATTGAGTTATGTGATTGGCCACTTTACACTATGAATGTTTGGGTTAAGTGATTTAGATTTGAATGTAATTTGATTAGTTCAAATGTGTTGTAAAAGGGGCATAAGCCCTCCTCTTTATTTCATGTATTCCTTTTTGTTTATTTGTATGCAAATTGGAATAGTTTGGTCCAACGCCCAACAGTAAATAACGGTTTAATTAGATTAAACGCGTAACTAAAATCAACAACTACCTACCTTAGACCCAAGGTCCAACACAAGCCTTGTGTTGGATCAAATCAAACAGTTCATAATCATCCTAATACCTAAAATGACTATATAGTCCATATGA